TATCTCAAATATACCAAGCTGTATTATGAGGTGATTGCACAATCCTTGCACAAACAGCAAGAGTAATTACACAAAGGGTTGTGATGTCTCTAGAATATGTTGTGAACTGCTGAAAGGCAGATGTCAGGGTTGCCGTCTCCCAGTCAAAATCAAATGATAAATTGGCAAGAAAAAGAAGACCAGGTCTTTGCACCATAAATAAAAAGGGAAGGTGAAAGATATGATGGAACTAACTTCCCTAAATGGATGGGATCAAAACAACAACACTTTAGAAAGAATCAACTTTCTAAAGTGTCCATGGGGGTATATTATATCTAACCAAAATGAAAACACTCAGATATGGTTGCCTTTCCAAAGTTACTTTCCTTCCTCTAATCAACTCTTTTTCTTCAAAGCAGTGGTTCTCAACCTGTGCTCCATGAAGACTTGATGAAATGTTATGATTTAAATCTTGAGTTAAGTCTTGGTGGTCCATGGCCATGGTCTGTAGCCATAAAAGGTATTTAAAGGGGGACCGTGGTGAAGAAAACCTTGAGAAACACTGTTCTAAACTGTTTCTGTTGTCCCAATTCCCACCTAAGCCTTAATCTCCATGATCCATGGTTCCATCTGAGTCTCACAGCAACATGCTAAGTGATAAACTGGAATTCCAAAAGCTCATATGTGTGTATTCTTGGCAAGATGCTTTAAACCAGGGATGGGGATCGATGATCCTTTTATGACTTGTGGACTTCAACTCCTAGAGGACTGGCTTGGGAATTCTGGGTGTTGAAGTCCACAAGTCATAAAAGGACCATCGTTCCCCACCCCTGCTTTATACAAAAGACCTTTGCTTCAGTATTCAATAGCTAATTTACATCTCCCAGCACTATGCTTTTATTATGGTCTGTGTCAGAGCTTTGTGAATCTGCGTGTTCCTTGAACGGAGTCCAAAGACGAAGAATGCTTCTGTGTAATTTCCAAACCCTGAATAGCAGTAGCACTTAGACTTACATATCGCTTCACAGGGTTTTTTGCAGCCCTCTCTAAGTGGTTTACAGAGCCAGCCTATTGCCCCCAACAATCTGGATCCTCATTTTACCTACCTCGGAAGGATGGAAGGCTGAATCAACTTTGCGTGAAATACATCCCCCAATTTCTGCCTCACGGACACTTGATTAAACTACTGCTGTCTTTTGCTGCTACCATTTCAACAATCTCAGAGCCCTGAGGCATTGTTTAGATTGCAGTATTAAAATTATTTACATTAGTCTGTGTTGGATCTTTGAGCAAAATATTGTTCTACCCATTTCCAGAAAATATATAATCTCCATTTTAACCTGTTGTTATTGAGCTGTGTGTGTGATTGTTGGCTAAAGTTAGATTGCATTCTCTTTATCTCAAAGTTTGACAAAAGATCATATTAGATGGGACGGTAGATTCAAATGGAAAGAGGCCCTGAAAAGGAGAAGACAATTCTGCTGAACACATGCAAGACAACTCTGGTGGGAATGTTAACTCTGATCTAAAGTTGTGTGGCGTTCCATTCCCAGAATTTCCCAATTGCTATTGCTATTGCTGAGAATCCTAAATTGCTGCTTGCACATCTGGAAGTTAACAAAGTTGGGAAATACCAGTCAATGAATATATGTACTTAGAAGAGACAGTCATGTGCTGCTCTAGAAAACCTGCCTTAACCAGGGGTGGGATTCAAATTTTTTAACAACCGGTTCTGTGGGCGTGGCTTAGTTGGTGGGCATGGCTTGGTGGTCATGGGACTGGCTGGGTGTGGCCAACTCAATATCACTCACATCGAGGCACGCATCTCCTCACCTGGCCTTTCATGACTGTGGGGATGCTGCAACAGTCGTAAGTGTGAAAAGTGGTCATAAGTCACTTTTTTCAGTGCCATTGTAACTTTGAATGGTCACTCCACACAAGCAAAGTACCAACAAAGGAGGGAGGAAAAAACTCCAGAGAAGTTCCTGAGACAGAAAGTCCAAGCCTGCCAAGAACGTAATAAGGGTTAACGGAGAGGCAGTTTCTATAAGCAACCCCAGAATGTTTCCTTCCTGCCTTCCTTACAGGATTAGGCCGGTAATTTCTTCTAACAACCGGTTCTCTGAACTGCTTAGAATGTTAACAACCGGTTCTAGCGAATAGGTGCCAACCTGTAGAATCCCACCCCTGCCCTTAACCTCCTGGCCCTTGTTTCACCAGCTTTCCCCTGTCAGGTGTCTAAGTTATTGGAGATTCTCAGTCATCCAGGTCATGGTTATTCCATAGGTGCTTTTTCAAAAGGCAGCTGGACTTTGTTTTTCCTTGAAGAAGTTTCATTTCTCATCCAAGAAGTTTCTTCAGTTCTTAACAACCTCTATGTAGGATTTACCGTATATCGGAAACAGGCAAACAGATACTCTTGGATTCTTGGTCTCCCCCAGATTCCTTATTTTATCCAACTTAGTTTGGATAAACATCTTCGTTGAAGATGTTTTGCTTCTCAGAACTGAAGGAGCTTCTTGGATGAGAAGTGAAATGTCTTCAAGGAAAAGCAAGGTCCAGTTGCCTTTTGAAAAAGCACCTTTGGGACTCTCTAAGTTGATAAGTTCTTTATCCAACCTAAGTTGAGTTAACACAAGGAATCCGGGGGAGACCAAGAATCCAACTCTTTCTGATATTCAATATATCCCACATACAGGATGTTATAATTACACCTGAGTGAACCTGAGAAGGAAAGAAAGTCAACCACATACCTGAGGCTATTTAAAGTCCTAATTCCTAACCCTCTCCTTAAGATTGAGATTTGTTTTGGGGTTTCCTGAATCCCTGAAGTCCTGTGCAAAATTCAAGCTGAACTTCTAGTAAGTACACAGAAAGAGCAATGGAGCTTTCTTGATAGGAGTATCAATGAGTTTGGCATGACTTTCTTCCAGAATATGCTTAAGCCTCTCAATCAACATTTGTGGTTTCTCAACTCTGTCCTGCTTACCGATAAAGGAGAAAATTTGTAGCTCAGAGTTGAAGCGAGGGGTGCTTGTTGCTCTCTGAACTTGCTTCTATTCTTGCAGATGTTTCATTACCCAACTAGGTAACATCATCAGCACCTGGTAATGAAACGTCTGCAAGAAACAACCAAGCTCAGAGAGCACCAAGGACCCCTGCCCCACTTAGCTTTTTCAAGATCAGCCAAGATTGCCAGAGGCTGTTCCTGTTGTAGAAAACCTCCAGTTAGCCAATCAGAGGTGGTATTCAGCAGGTTCTGACAAGTTCTGGAGAATCGGTAAACAGAAATTTTGAGTTTCTCTTTATATTAGCTTATTTGTAGTTCCGTTGGTTATACTGGCATATTTATCATTCTAAACCATCTTTATATTTAGTTCATACATAGCAATAATCTTTCTTCATCTAATTTCTACTTCTTATCTCTAACCACTCGTAAAATCTATTCCATGTTAAGTAGTATTCTGCGTCTTCTTTGTCCTTTATTTTTAATGTCCATCTATCCATCTCTGCACAGTCTCATATTTTCTGAATCACATCATCATCTGATGGGGTGTTCTCATTTTTGCAGTATTGTGCAAATACAATCCTTGCTGCTGTCAACACATGCAAAACTAGTTATATAGTCCCTTTATCATAGCCCTTCAGCATTATACCCAGCAAGAATATTTCTGGTTTCAGATCTATATGTTGCTTGATCATCTTTTCCAACCATGTACGTATTTTCATCCAATATTTTCTTGCTTTCATACAAGTCCACCACATATGCTAATAAGTACCTCGGGTCTGAATACATTTCTAACACTTGGCAGACATATTGCTAAACATTTTTGATAATCTTGCTGGTGGCAAGTGCCACCTATAAAACATTTTATAGAGATTTTCCTTGTATGCAGTAGCCATAGTCAGTTTATAGTTCCTATCCCAAAGTTTTTGCCATTTATCTAATTCTATAATATAACCAAAAAAAAGCCCACACAATCATTGTTTCTTTGACTTGTTGTATTTTATAACTTAATAAGTAATTTTCCATCTGTCCCTAATAATATCTTATCACGTGTTGTTGATTCTTTGTTAAAAAAAACCATGTTTTTGCATCTTTCTCATATCTTGATTGTATTTGCAGATGTGGCCATCAAGCTAAGTCCACCCCTTGATTTTGTAGTTATTGTCCAATTTTAAGTTGACCATTCTCTTTTAAAATATCTTTATAAAATACATTTTTTTCAAATTAATAAGATATGGATGTATCAATGCTTCCATTGTGGAGAGCCAGACTGGTATTTTCATACAGTTTTGTACTTTAATTTTTTCCCATGACTGATGCAAAGCATTCCTCACATAGTGTCCTTGAAAATATCTATGTATCGTACTCCTTACATACCATAAAAAATTGTGCCATCTTAGTTGGAGATCATGTTCCTCTAATAATAATAATCTTCTATGTTTCAAATGTATCCATTCTTTTACCCATGTAAGTACATATGCCAGATAATATAACTCCCAATCTGGTCGTACAAAGCCCCATTGTTTTTAGATTCCTGTAACATTTTCAGTTTTATTCTTGCTTTTTTCCCTTGCCAGATATACTTCAAGCTTGTTCTGTTTAGTTCTTCAAAATATGTTTTCTCTACTTTTATCTGTATCGTTTGGAATTTAAAAAAGTAGTTTCGGTAATATATTCATTTTTATAATGGCTATTCTTCCTATCAAAGATAGTTGTAGATGCTTCCATTTCTCCAAGTCCAGCTTAATTTGTTGCATTAGTTTTATATAGTTATCATCTTTAATTGTTTAATTTAATCTTGCAGTTAAATAGATGCCTAAATATGGTAGGGAAGATATTTACTGAGCGTGTTTGCACATGTAACAAGTGGAAGTAAAAGTTAACTCAGAGTTCCCTGCTGCTGAGAAATGTGTTCTGTCGCTCAAAAGGTTTGCTAATTCCTGGATAAATTGCAATGAGTTTATGTTTGGCTTCTTATTTCATCCACGTGCTTCCTCGGCTTCAGAGCCCATTCAGCCGCCTTATCTTAAGTCAGAAACAACAAATGAATCATTAAGCAAGGAGGTGGAACAAAGCAACTAGTATTGCAAGGAACTTAGTTCCTGTTGGAAGAGGAGGCGAGCAACTGGAGAGAAGAGCCAGAAAGGACTGGTTTTAGAGAACTAAGGCAAGAGTAGAAACAGCCTTTTCAGATCAGCCCCGGCAGAAGAGAAAGGAGACAACTCGCAAAATGAATAATGCAAGTTCTGAAAAGATCACAGGCAGCATGCCGAACCCCCAGGATCTACCCCCGCCTTATTCTGATGCAGTGCAGCCTCCGGTTCAACCATCTGCCCCCATAGCTGCTCAACCTATGCCAAGCCACCTTTATTATGTCACGGCTGTCCAAGACCCAAAGGAAGTACCAATTCTTCAGCCTGTTCCATTCACCCCTGCATCTGACTACCTGGTCTACTCCATCTTTACTATGCTCTGCTGTTGTCTACCCTTGGGTGTGGCTGCCTTAGTTTACTCTATACAGGTAAGCTGGAAAAGGGGTAGGGTGCAGGGGATAGTGGGGTTGGAGAAAGGATCTTCTCAGATTCCATCCAAACAAAAGGATCCTCGTTTGCCTGCTTGCTTTCTGAAGACGCTTCCTGGCTCTCTGAGGGAAAAAAAATAAATAAAGCCAAGATGGCAACACACAAGCAGCATCCTGGTTCTTTTGACAAAACACTACTTTGGTAAATCGGGATGGGATGATCTGAGTTTCTCCTTTTGCGTGAATTCAAGCATTAAAGTAAGTGGGGAGGGGGAGAAAAAAGAAGAGTTACAGGAAAAGAAACCAAAGGAGGAGGAAGCATGATATAGATGGGAAGTTTGTCTCTTAGTAAGGCACCAGACTAGAGCACGAATTCTAGCCTGTTCTAGGAAGGAAAACTGGCTGGGTGAGTTTGGGCTACTCGTTCTCTCTCAGCCCAATCCACCTCACAGGGGGTGTTGCTGTAGGAAAAACTGAAGGAGGAAAGAGCATAAAGTATTTGTAGCTTTGAGTTATTAATTAAACAATAATAAAGATGGGGTGAAAATAAATAAATTTGAATTGTGTCGGAGAAGGATGTGGATTTGAATATTGCCACAGACAAATTTTAGCCAAAGACAATATATAGATATAGACAAGTTTAATATTGTTTTATAAGAGTATTCTTTTTATGCTGGTCTGTGACCTAATAAAGATTTGTTTGCTAAAGACTTTTTGACTTTTCTGAAGTCTGTCAGTTTCCGGATATAGGAGAAGCAAGAAGAGAAACTTGGGAAAAATTTTTGAAGCAAGCCAGTTTATTGTTTTAACAAGTTGCTCTGTGCCTCATTCAAGATCAGGATTTTTATGGGCTCTGCTATTGGAGGTTTTACCCGCACTTCCACCCCCTTCCCAGGTATTCGAATGTCTTGTAAGATTATGTAATCTTGCCCACTTTTTATATGAATAGTTCAGCCCTGCAAATGCTTTTTATAGAAGCTGCATTGGCTTTTGGCTCCGTCTGAATATTTTTGCCTTTGATCCTGATGGCTGGAAAGGGGGATTTTACTTCCAGATTTTAGAAAATATTTATTTATCAAATCTAAATAGCCACTCAGCTCACTAAAGGTGACTCTGGATGGTACGCAACAATGAGATAAACTATATGAAAACTATAGATGTAAAACATAAAAATCCATGTTAATAAATATCAGAAAAACAAAAAATACAAACCCCAGAAGAGAGGACTAAAAATGGCCACCCTAACAATAAAGCCGGGGGTGGGATTCTACCGGTTTGGGTGAATCAGATGTTAAATTTGCATCTGGTTTGCCAAACCAGTATTTGAACCAACCCACTGGGTCCCGCCCACCCCACCACTTCCAGGAGTCTCCACCTGGCCCATTTTCAAAGCAGGTAAGTGCAGGATCAATGCGGGAGTGGGGAGGAAAATGGGGCTTCTGGAAGTGGCCCTATTTCCAGCTTCTGGAGGACCTCCAGAGCCCAGGGGAGGCCGTTTTCATCCTCCCAGAGGCCCAAGGGAAGCCTCCGGACCCTTAAGAAAGCGAAAAATGGCCCACCTGGAAATTCTGATAGGCCACACCCATCACGGCCACACCCACCCAGCAACTGGGCAGCGAACCAGCTGCTGGGATTTTTGAATCCCACCCCGAATAAAGCCATATTAGCAAGTCTCTTGTACCATGGAAGGCCCAGGCCTGATAAAATAACCTCCAGAGTTGCTTGATTGTGAAATAGGCAGCTTTTAAATTTAATAAATAAATAACCAGGTCATGAGGGCCTTTAGGAATATCAAAAAGATGGAGCTAATCTATTTTCAGGGGAAAGGATGTTCCATAAAGTGGGTGCCCTGCAAAGAAGACATGTCTCCTGGGACCTGCCAAAGTTACAGCCACTTATTTCTTTCATATCTAATACTCCTTCCTCCTTATATTTCCCCGCCACCTCCCCCCAACAACAATCCTGTGAGGTAGGTTGGGCTGAGAGAGAGCGACTGGCTCAAAGTCACCCAGCCAGCTTTCATGCCTAAGGTGGGACTAGAATTCACCATCACCTGGTGATTGGTCCAAAGTCACCCAGCCAGTTTTCATGCCTAAGGCAGAACTAGAACTCACATTCTCCTGGTGAAGGGTCCAGAATCACACAGCCAGCTTTCATGTTTAAGACTGAATTAGAACTCCAGTCTTCTGGTTTCTAGGTCAGCATCATAAACACTAAACCAATTCAGTAGTAAATGCTGGAGAACTTTCACCAAAGCTAGATAAAATGTCCATCTTTACATATCCTGAAAGGCAGATCTGGAAAGATTCCTCCAATTCAACCTTTATGGTTAAGTTATTTTGCCAGTTTCTTTTAAATCAGCCAGCTGATGACTAACGACTATCTATTATACGATAATACAGCTTGTGTTGTATATTTTGTATTGTTATGGTCTTGGAGCTTAATCAAACTAATACACCTCTTCATTTAGAAAAGGAATGCAAAGAACAGCTTCAGGCCAATTCAACTTCTGGCTTCCAAAGGGCCCTAAAACTCAACTTGGAGAGATGAACACCTGCATATGAATTTCCTCCCCCGCACTTTCCAAAATGAGTGAGATCACGCAGCTGATTTCCCCAATCCAATTTTTCATTCAAAAGGCATGCTGAAAAAAAGTTGGTCAGCTTTAATGAATAACAGAGAAGTACGGCTGGCCTACAGGTCACCCAAACCTGTTCTTACAAATCATTTTCATATCTATACAGTTTTATTGGCCACCCCCATTTTACCTTTTCCTTATGGGAAAGTTTGCTCTGCCTCTCCCTCTCCTCCTCCTCCTCTACCACCACCATTCTGAAAATGACTGTTCCTTTTCCAAGTTTAATTTAAAAAGTAACAAAAGCAAAGAATGGGAAGCAACAGTGGGATTAAAAAATTTCTACTATAAGTTCTGTGGCTTGGTGGGCATGGCAGGGGAAGGATACTGTAAAATCTCCATTCCCTCCCCACTCCTGGGGGAAGGTTACTGCAAAAATCCCCATTCCCTCCTCACCCCACTAGCCTGCTTTCCAGCTCCGTTCTCCTGTGCAGGGCAACCAAAGAAGACCCAGCCGATCAGCTGGGACTCAATGGGAGGCAGAGAAGAGATGGGGCAGGGCCAGTCAGAGGTGGTCTTTGCCGGTTCTCCGAACTACTCAAAATGTCCACTACCAGAACTGGTCAGAACCTGCTGAATACCACCTCTGATGGGAAGGTAGGAGAACCATCAGGGTGTGCAGCATTCTGTATCAGGACAGGATCCAGCTGTTTATAACCACTCACCAGCTAAAAACATCAACATCTGAATGGTTTATGGTACCCTTCTGTCAACAACTGCGTTAGATTTTCTTCTTTTTTCCTAGACTCCCTTCTTTGAAAAGGGACTTTGGTTTTTGGTTACACAGATATAGACTGTAAACAAGCTCTATGTCAATGATGAGCATTTCCATGCAGAGTTAAGAGACAATTATGTTCGGGCAATGGAAAAAATAGAGGGATTTATTAGGATGTTCTCTGTAGTCAGGGAACATGTTTATTTTCCTTTTATAATGGGCTCATATTTCTGGGTTTGCATCATACACTGGAGAGGACCAAGTTCACACAACGTTTGAAGTCCCACTAAAGGAAGAAAATATGCAATAAAATTAGTCTAGAGTCCTGGAAATTGTGGTGCTGTAATCCTGCTTTAGGCACAAAGCCAATGGATGATCAAGGCCAGTCAATCAGTCTCATCCTTAAAAATCAGGCAAGGAGCCAATTTGCTCTAGTCAATGGTTAAGGCAACAGGCTAGAAAGCAAGGCACCGTGAGTTCTAGTCCTGCCTTAGCCCTGAAAGCCAGCTAGGTTTACTTTGGGACAATCACTCTTGCTAAGCCCAACTCACTTCACAGGGTTGCTGTTAATAATAGGAAGAGGAAGGTGTGTTGCATATGCTCACCACCTTGAGTTAGAATTAGAATAACAGAGTTTGAAGGGACCTTGGAGGTCTTCTAGTCCAACCCCCTGCTTAGGCAGGAAACCCTATACCATTTCAGACAAATGGTTATCCAATCTCTTCTTAAAAACTTCCAATGTTGGAGCATTCACAACTTCTGGAGGCAAGTTGTTCCACTGATTAATTGTTCTAGCTGTCAGGAATATTCTCCTTAGTTTTTCTTTCCTTGATCAGTTTCCGCCCATGGCTTCTTGTCCTCCCCTCAAGTACTTTGGAGAACAGTTTGACCCCTGTTCTTTGTGGAGGTCCCTGATAAATTGGAACTTCAATATTGGATATTGAAGTCATCTATATAAATAATAAAGGTGGAATATAAATATAAATAATTGGCAAGCCACTTCTGAAAATGTTGCCAAGTACAGTGCCAGAACCTGACCATGTAGCTGCTAGGAATCGAAACTGACTTGAAGGCACAACTTTTAGGCTTACAACTAATGAAGCCTGGCATGTTTGCAAGTCGGGCCATTAATTTGTAACTGATCTGAGGAAGACTTTATACCTGAGGACAGAGATTTTGCTAGTGAATTTGAAGGTGTGAGTATGGTACATGCAAGGGCAAATGACAAAACATAATTATGAGCTCAAGACCAAGGTGTAATATGGAAGGATAATTTTCACATTGTGTCATTTCACCATGCATTTAACCATTTCTTTGTTAGTGCCAGGAGTAACAAATATTTATTGATCCGTGAGAGTGCTGTATTACACATCCACGCATTACAGAATGTAAACATTACTAATGAAACCCACTGAGTTGCTAGATCCCTTTCCATAGTAACCCCCCAAAATGGTCTACATAGATACCTCAAGCTTTAGCCAGGATTTGAGATTTGTTACACCATTAAATTCCTGTTCTAGATTATGTGGTTACTGCAATCAAAAGCTAGAGCTGAAGGAACTTAACCAACGTATTGTATAGGACACACAACAAGTTGACACTAGTATAGAATCGCCCACTTCTTCGTATCATGTATGTTCTCCAGAAGGTCAATTGTACGCATATGCATTGCAACTCTTGCATATTCTTTTTCTCCTTTCTTCAGACCCGAGAAGCCAACCATGAAGGAAACAGTACCGCTGCACAACGCAACTCCAGAATGGCACGGATTTGGGCCCATTCAGCACTCGGGGTGGGCATTGGCATCATCATCTTATACGTCATCTTTAGGTTATTTGCTTACTCAGTGCTCAAATGAACATTGATCAGTCTCTAAGTGACCCAAAGAGGACATGATGCATCCTTTTTTTTAAAAATGACACCCACCGGCGAGCGATGTATCATAAACTTTGGGACATGAGGAAGAATTCAGAAATTGCTAGGTTTCCCGATCCATTTTTGTCTTCTCAATTTATCTTCCTCAGTATGAATTTACATAGGCTGCGCTCTTCCAGAAGAAAATGACTCACAATTTGGGGGAGGATGGGATGCGGATGGCCTCCTGAACCCACAGCTTCTGCAGTGATTAGAAAAGCCTTTGTACAGTTGGACACATGGCAGAATGTATCTTTTGTTTTATGTACACTGAGAACATTTGCACCAAGACAAATTCCTTGTGTGTCCAATCACACTTGGCCAATACAGAGTTCTATTCTATTCTATCAAGAGGCTGTTCTCGTGATAACTCATGCGTTAGTCCTCTCCTGGATGAATTACTGTGAAATTCGATCCATGGAGCTGCCTTTAAACAACATTCAGAAGCTGCAACTCACCCCAAAATGCTGCAGTGCAGGCAGTTTGGGGCATTTCACAAGATCCTTGTGTTCTGTGAGCTGCACTGGTTTCCAGGAGGCTTCTGGATGCAATCCAAGACGCTTGTTATCACCTAGAAAGCTCCACGTTGAGCCAAAATAGTTGCAGGATAGCACTTAGCACTTAGACCTATATACCGTGTCGACCCTGAAGATGACATATGTGTAGCCATATTTTATATTAGCCAGTATTTCTTTTTCTGTTAGCTTTTAGATTTATAGTAACTGAATTTACTGATGCTATAAGCTGGTCACTGTCTAACTGTAACAGGGGGGGTTGTACAGATAAAGGGAGAATGTTATGTCTAAGCGGCCTTCCTTTCCCATGAGAAAAGTTCAGGTGCCTGCAGCTGGATGAAGGTGGAGTTTGGAATTGCCAGACTGTGGGACCAAGAAGCGATTGGAGATTGTGACTCAGGGGGGACGTTTCACACTTTGGCTTTTATTGGGTGCAATTCTGGATCTGGTTCAGAGTCGGAATTACACCAAGTCTGTGCCAATTTAATGTGTTCCTAATAAATAGATTTGAAATGGAAAATGGATGACATGGACTTTATTGGGGGGGGGGGACATGTTACTTGGGGTCTTGACATACTGCTTCATGGAGCTTTACAGCACTTCTCTGAGTGGTTTACAACATCAGCATATTGCCCCCAACAATACGGGTCCTCGTTTTACTGATAGAAGGATGGAAGGTTGAGTCAATCTTGAGCTGGTCAGGATCAAACTCTTGGCAATAGACATCACCTGTGTCTCTTTATTTCTGCTTGCCCTACCAGAACCATCAGGTTGGCATCCTCTAAGTCCCTTCCATTAGACAACGTCACCTTTGAGATACAGGAGTCAACCCTATTCAATGGCAGCACCTACCTATGGAAGAGCTGCTGCCCAGACACCTGGTTTATTGCTCATCATGTTGGGCTTCCCCAAGAAACTCTTCCTTTAGACTTACGCTCACTTAACCCTGCTAAATTGTTTAAATAAACAGAACTATTGTGTTTTGTGGTCTTGTATTTTGTGGTTTTTGTGGTTTTGTTGGATGTAGGTTCTCTCTTAAGTTCGGTGCAAGCCTCACATACTTTATATACTTTTGCATATTTGTAATAAATACATGTTTTACAGTATATGTTGCTTTACGGCATATGTTTTACTGTACATACTATAATAGCTTGTACAATTCGTTCACCTCTATGTTCCTCCCCTTTAATTAAGACAGTTCAATTTATTGGCTGTTTTTCTTCCAAGCACCCCAGGCTATCCAGCAAATTTTTATATTCAGCAAAACTCAGACTAAAACAATGGCTCAAGGAACTTGAGAATAATGGAGCAATGGTGCCTCTGAGCAAATTTTCAGCCTAGGAGTTTAGGGATAAGTGCCAGAATTAAGATGTAGAGTTTTTGCACTCAAAAATCAACTTGTTTCTCTTCTATAATTTTTCATTCTCAGCAAAATAACTTTCCTTTGCAAACTTATTTTGGAATAGGTTTCATGGAATATATTAAGCTTTCTATTCAGTAAATACATATTTACTGGGGTGGGGAGGGATCTACCTTTTAAATAATACTATTTTTTCTTCAATAAATGCAAGCGGTTGAGTTCCAAACAACCTGTTCTTCCATAAATCTTGTTGCCTTCCATAGCTCTACTGCCGCTGAAGAGAATGTCCTGATTCAAAAACAATCAGAATGAACTGAATGTTAGACAACTTCTCCCATAACTATCTCGTTTGGTTTTACTGCTCACAACCAGCATTCATTCTAGAACAAGGGAAGGATAATGACATTTGCATTGGTCCCTGTGTCTAACAGGGTAGAGAGGTTGTAGTTTTATAACTGACAAATTCAAATGCAAAAGCTAAAAGTTGTAATTTTATAACTGACAAATTCAAATGCAAAAGCTAAAAGTTGTAGTTTTATAACTGACAAGTTCAAATGCAAAAGCTAAAAAGAAGAAAATTCAGCAGCTTCATTATGCATATTTATATACTGCACAAGTCAAAAACAGGGCTATGAAAATACCTACAGACCTCTCACATCCCAGACATAAATTGTTTCAACTTCTGCCCTGAAAACGACCTTATAGAACAATTAGGCACAAGGACAGTTTTTTCCCACATGCCATCACTTTGCTAAACAACTAATTCCCACAACACTGTCAAACTATTTAGTAAGACTGTATTGCTATTCTTCTTCTCATCCTTCCTATTACCCATCTCCTTTTCTACTAATGACTATAATCTTGTTGCTTATACCTTCACGATTTACATTATTTTATTTAGTTTCCTAGTATGATTTTGATTGCATATTTAGTATCCTATGACTATCACTGTGTTGTAGCTTATGATTCATAATGAATGCATTTTATGATGATGATGATGATCATGATTTATCACTTACAGTTTTTATATACACTGAGAGCTTATGCACGGAAGACAAATTCCTTGGGTGTCCAATCACTCTTGGCCAATAAAGAATTCTATTCTATTCTATTTGATATATGGAATAAGAGCTATTCCTCTAAAAGACTTAATGAGTTGTATTAAATCTACCTGTCACGTTCAAAATGTCACGCTGCCCATAATAGATGGGGAGGGATAGTCTGGAAAGTAAATGAAAGTATAGCAAAATAAATGTCTCCCATCTTAGTTGGCTTAATATTAGTTTATTTGTTGTCCTGGCTTTCAGAATGAGTATTAAAGTTGAGAACACTCTTTACTTGCATATAAACTATATTATTAGTGTGCAACTTGAGAACTGGGGTGCCAAGAAAGACAACAGGGGATCATGAACCTCTGTAGATCCAACTTTGGGAAGAAGAAAACAGGATACACTGTATAATCCACTGTACTGGCTCCTTTAATGCAACGTTGTTGTGACCTTCAGTCGAGTTTCGGTTTTTCTATCCGTTATTTAAAGACTGCAGGGTAGAACCAGTATCCATTTTTATTCCTTTACTATAATAAGTCTTTCTACCTAAGGACAATATAAAGCTATAAATCATCTAACAAGACATCATTAAATGCAAATATCCCTTTTTCTTTTTTCTTTGGTTATTTGAACTTCCAAAAGTTACCTAGGGCTGGTACATTTAACATGCCCATAATGTTCAAGGCAAACTGTTCCTAGGATGTTCCTCTCTTATACAAATGATGACATTCTACCTGTTAGGAATAACAAGGTTACCTAACGTAGTTTGGGTAAAATAATATATATAAACTATGATTGTAAGTTTAAGTGTGTGTCACTTTAAACTGTAAAGCATGTAATTTTGGGTGCGGTGTGAAACCGCCATAAGAGGGAGCAAGAGAACCTGATGATTCCTGACGATTGCTGGTTTGATGGTTTGCTAACTGCGTGTTTTCCCTACTGCTGAGTTGCTGAACGCTGAAGGAAGAAAGGAGGTTTGACTTCTTCATATCTCTACTGCGAGGAGATATATTACTGGACTGATATTTGTAAGTTTACTGACCTCTCTTTTTTGACACTGGAATTTGCAACTGAATAATCCCTGGACGGACTGAATTAGTGAATGATATATGGACTGTTTGACTATGCTAAAACTCTTGCTGGAATAAACTATTTAACTAGCACGGTGTATCTGTTTTACTGAGTGTAAGCTACAAAAAACGTTTATCTCACATATTTTGCCTGCCTGACTGACTGCCGTGCAGATTCTGCTCGGGTGTATCCCTAACACTAACACTCCTTGTAAAACAGTGATTCACAACTTTGTCTGATCGCACCGTAGATTTAATCAAAGGCTTTTTCAAGGAAAGGTATATACTAGATCAGCGAACCCCAACCTTTGCGGCTCGGTACACACAACTCAACTGCAGAAGCGGAGTTGTCCTTGCCCTCTGGCCTGCCTCTCACGAAACCCAATTCAAAATAGACCACGGCCCCGGGGGTTAAGGACACTGTATAGTTCTTATCAAGCTACCTATCTATGGAAATACCGTGCAGCTATTTCACTGCTTACTAATAACTCATTTAGCTATAAATACTATAAGTAAACACAGAATGAGGGTTCTTTTTTAAAACTTTTTTCAGTCCCATGATAACTTCTATTCTGATTGATTAAGCAAATAACTCTAATCATGGGGGTGTCTTCAGAAGAGTAGCTAATCTTAAAAGAAAGAATTTACAGATAACTTGTTCAGAGGCCTCATGATAGGGATGATTCTACATTCCATTCCACCCACTCAACCTCCCACTATTGCCAGCAGAATGTCTGAATCCATTCAGGCTCTCCTTCCAAATTCCAGCATGAAAACAACTTCAAAAGGGACTCTCCTTTTGCAATAGTGCTATGTGCAGCCATGGAATAAAGATCACTGGAATAAAGATTGGCTTAACTATTTATGCATCAGTCTGGAAAGCTCTAGTGACAATCAGCTGGTTTACGTTGCATAGGTAGATAACAGATAGTCAGAGTTGGAAGGGACCTTGTAGGTCATCTAGTCCAACCACCCCAGCCAAGCGGGAGACCCTATACCATTTCTGACAAATGGCAGTCCAATCTCTTCTTAAAATTCTCAAATGATGCGCTCACACAACTTCTGAGGGCAAGCTGATCCATTGGTTGATTGTTCTCACTGTCAGAAAGTTTCTCCTTATTTCCAGGTTGAATCTCTCTCCGTGTTCAGTTTCCATCCATTGCTTCTTGTCTGGCCTTCGGGTGCTTTAGAAAATAGCTTGACCCCTTCCTCCTCTCTGTGGCAGCCCCTCAAATATTGGAAGACTGCTATCCTGTCTCCCCTGGTCTTTCTCTTCACTAGACTAGCCATGCCCAGTTCCTGCAATCATTCTTCGTATGTTTTAGCCTCCAGTCCCCTAATCATCTTGGTTGCTCTTCTCTGTACTTTTTCTAGAGTCTCAACATCTTTTTTATAGTGTGGTAACCAAAACTGGATGCAGGACTCTAGGTGTGGTCTTACTGAGGCTTTATAGAGTGGTATTAGTACCTCCCTTGATCTTGATTGAATCCCTCTGTTAACGCCTAAATTTAGGATTGCATTAGCTTTTGGTAGGCGAAAGGACAAGCCTGTCAGGCAAGCAGAATCCAAAAGGCAAAAAAGTAAAACTCTTCTGGACTTTCCCCTTTAAGTATCAGCAGGCGAAGTTTAGCCGCTTATTATCTGGTCATCTGTTCACATGCCAAAGAAGCAGGAAGGGGAGGCGATGCTGTAAGGGAGAGAGAGAGAATAGTAAGATCCACCAGAAGAGGCAAGGAGCAGAAGGAGGAGGCCAAGAAGGGGCGAGAAAGTGCAAGAGAAGAGAGGAGGGAGAGGGAGAACAGATTTAGCTTGCAATACATCAGAAACCGACAAAAAGAAGAAACCAGCACTTGGGCGGGGGGGTGTGTGTGTGTGAAGGGATTCCATCCGAAGCCTGCAGAACAGCCG